TAGTTGGCATAGTTTCAAGACACAACATCCTGGACCATTCTCTTCAAGGAGCTCCAAAGCTCATGTCATTGTCCCTTGAGAATCATAGCGCCCCAAAATGAACCAAATAATACCCCAAATGTGTTCTGACAAAAGTCAGTATAGTGCACTATTGCCTGTCTTATGCTTCTATTCACTAAACCTAAGATTGCACTAGCTTTTTGCCTGTTATGATACATTGTTTCAATCTCAGCTCTGTTGTTTATTAGCCTTACTGACTTTAGACAGGACCATTAACCTTCCTAGGCCTCAGTTTATTTCTTCACAAAATGACAGTGTTGGGCTAAATAACTTCTAGGGTTTCTTCCAGCTCTAAACCAATGACCTATCTGGGGAACTACCCGCTATAGGCTTCAGTTTCCTCACTTGTAAAACTAGAGGGTTGTACTAGATGATTTCTAGGGTCCTTTCCAGTGCTAAAATTCCATAATACTATCATATATTCACAATATGCGCTTTTTAAAGCAAAGTCTTGTATCAGCTACTTTTTATGACATGTACAACTCCATAAACAAGTTTACTAATAAAAGTTAAACATATACCTGCCTCAATAACAGATTAATACAGTCCATTCTCAATCAGAAATAGTAAAACCCACAGATAAGACTAAGACTTCATTATAGCCAACAGCTTGCTTCAGCTCTCCCTTCCAACAATCTGTTGTGGTGATTCTCATCTTCTTTTCCCTCTCTGGTCCATACCCTGGTAATATAATAATAATCCACATTTATATAGCATTTTACAGTTTAAAGGTACTTTCCTCACAACAACCCTGTGAGGTAGGTAATGCAAGTACTAAAATTGAGAAAACCAAGAGAAGTTAAGTAACTTGCCCAAGGTCACACTGCTAGTCAGGGAAGGAACTAGGACTTATAATCAGAGCTTCTAATTCTTTCTATTCCACCAGAGTGCCTATAAATGACACACAAGCTATGAGCATATTCCAAAAGACAGAAAAAGGGTATAGATCATCAAAACTGCAATAGTCTCAAGAGTTGATTTTATGTTAAGAATCTTACTCAAATTCCAAGGTCAAAGCTAGTGCTCATCCACACTGCTGAGAGAAGGAAGTAAGAAAGAAATTAAATTATAAAGTCAGTTATGTTAACAATTCTCATATTGATGAGAAGAAAATATAACTGAATTTTACTTAGAATAGATGCCCACCTAACTAGAAAAAAGTAGTAAGGGAAAAATAATATGTTCCACAGAGTCTAACAACTCTGAAACTGGTAAGGTGTATTTTATTTGTATTTCAAATATCTGTAACCCTTAACCTAGGGGAAGAATAAAAAAATATGGCCTTGAAATCTGTTACAAAATCCATACCCAGTTATTTTACACTTTACTCTAGGCAAATAATCTAAAAGTAAATAATATTTGGAATCCATACCCAGTTATTTTACACTTCATTCTAGGCAAATAATCTAAAAGTAAATAATATTTGGAAAGCTATGCCCTCTCTTAACTATAAGAGTTGAATGCAAATAAGTATGGTGATCAAATTCACATGGCATAGCATTAAAATACACATCTTATTTTAAAGGCAATAGATATTTTAACATATTTCTGAAGACAATGTTAAATTGCATTACCAACATCCATAAAAAGCCAAAGAATAAAATTTGGAGAATGTCAGAAACATTAGATGATGCAGAGTTAAGGCGACACTAAACAGTTTTAAAGGAAATCTCATATACATCAAGCTCTTAGCATAGTACAATTTTACAAACTCAACAGAAAGTCAATATTAAATGATCATGATAAACTGATATTAATCTCAGATTAAATTCAATTCTGAAAAGAACTTCGAAAACTTCGAAGAAAACGTCACAGTAGTCTCCCGCACTTACAGCCTTACTCAGGGAAAATTCCAACATACTACACTACTGGAATCCCTGTACTTTACCAAAGATCTTTAATCTCAAAAACTAACAAATAAATATCGTTAAGATTATCTGTCCTTCTGAAAGAGTCTGGTGAACTTTTCACTCTTCCATATTATCACATAAATCAGGCTACTTCTTTAGGTTTCACTCTCTGATGAAGCCTCCAGCCATTTTATTGAACAAATGAGCAGGTAACTCTGAGAAAGGAAGATAAATAAAACCTTTCTTTCACCACAAATGTGTATTCATTACAGTTGCATTTAGCATATCAGATTTTTTTTAACCTTTTGGGTATCATGGATCACCTTTGGCATCCCTTCTCAGAAAACCAATTATACCAAAATACAGTTATCAAAACATTTCTTTTAAAGTGGATGAACTCCAGGTTAAAAAAACCCATGTGATAGCAGGATTTCATTATTAACTATTTAGAGTCAAGGTAACTTAAATGACCATGCCAGACCTGCCACTGATAAGCCATTTAGCTTCCCCAAACTTCAGCTATCCCAATCTGTCAACTAAGAATGGTACTTAAGGAGTTTTATACACTCCAGAGTCTTATGATTTCAAAATATCACAGTGATAGGACCATTAAAAAAATGGCAGCCTTGAGAGGAAGAACTACACATAACCTAGAAAACTAAATCTTTTTGAAGATTATTAATATTCACTTTTAAAGCTATAACTGTCTATAGAACTGGCTTTTTGGTACAGATGACAGTCATGGAAAATAGACATTTCCAGCTGAACTCTTTTAAAATTCATTTCAGTTAATATTTCTTAAGCTATTTTGTTCTTTTTTAAACTTAATTTATTCAGTTCTAAAAATCAAAATAAGTTTAGTCAAAGGCTGCATTTAACTTACATATGGCAATTTCATGTGAAATTTGAGTACCGTATGTTTCAAGATATCACAATGCACCAACTTCAAAGTAATATTAATTCAAAATGTGCTTTCTAAGTTCAGAGAAGCATCTTTTTCATACCAGCCTGTTATTATTATAGAGGCAGTCTAAGCTACACTGGAAGTTATTAATGAAGGTAGAAAGAAATGCTGTTCCTACATTTTAACATCTATTATAATAAAATCTGGAATTGTCTTCGTTTTCACTATAATGAAACAGGCCAAAGCACACAGCACATACGTGTCCAGATAATGGTCATATTTTGACTAATACACTCCCACAATCAGAGAATGAGTGAAGTACTTAAAGGTAAGGTAAGAAGAGCAAGGAATATTTATCGTGAAGTTAGACTGCCCAATCTTCACCACCCAAAAGTTCCAGCTCTTTCTAATACCACTTTACCTGCATGGCTGATCAGGTTTGGGTACATCTGATAAGGATAAATGGAGGTCAAACACTGTGACCAAAACTAAAAACCACCATATAAGTCTTTTGGACAAATATCCAGTTTCTGGATGCTTATAGACCACAAAAACCTAAATGCTGACTGATTACTGATCTCTAAAATCAGTGCACAATTCTAACCAGAACAGATAAGGATGGTCACAAATTTTTAAAAAACCAACATACTCAAATATAAATGCAACATCTTTAAAAATGTAATAAAATTAAGCATTCACAAAGAGAATGCTTTCATTGCAATGGGCCTAAGTTTATGGATAGTATGCAATTAAAACATTATCCAAAGAACTCAGGTTTGAATGCACTCAGTATAAAAGAGCATAATAAGCCCAAATCTATTTGTCCTAAGTTAGCCACTGCATCAGAAAACCATTAAGATTAGTAACCCCAGGTAGGCTTTTGCATTTAATATATAGGCACCTAATCTTATTACAATCAATTAACACAGAGATGAGCACATTCACTAGCATTTGGTTCTATTATGTCACGCAAAATTCTATATGGTTCAAACCAGACTGTCAAACCCATCAAGTTCTGTGCTGAATTACAGCTCCATTATCATCAACTTTCCCCAAAGAAATGTGTGCAACCTAGACAGCATTTTACTTTACAACACCCACTGACCCAAGAGAACTGGAGCTTAAACAAGTTAACATAGTTATTGGTTGAAAAGTTTTTCCTCAATATTTTTAATGCACAAAATCGTCTAGTCACTAATTTTTCTTGCAACCTATGCCATAAACAACCTATTGGGCCCGGAATATGGTTTGTTGTTTAGCAGCCTCTGAAGGATTACTTCACTTGCCATGTGTCTTAGAATAATTCACAAACGAAATTCAACTATTATCCCCAAATTTTTCTAAACCACCCAGCTGAGACTGTCTAAATAATGGTATCTACCCGGAAAGACTTAAGCTTAACAACAGACTAGCTCCCTCACAACCACTAATAAGGTCAGTATTTTAAAGGGACTAACTCCTTCATGCTTTCACTTTTTCCATATAAACAGGAAAGCCTTGATCTTGGAATGAGAATAATGGCATAATTTCCATGTCCAACTGCTCAGGCACACAAAATACAGGCATGAAACTGAAAAAATCAATTCCGAAGGTGGGGGGGGATTAGTGAAAGGAATGCCAGCACAGTTAGAGCAGTAAACATATCATCCAACCCAGAAGGATCACAAAACATCTGGAACAGCTGCACCAGATATATTTGGGGGGTGGAGGGTGTCGAGGGATCGGAGAGGGTTGAAAGCCGTGATTGTGCATCAATAACTCTTTTCTTACCTTTCCAATTTACATCCCATTCCCCCTCCAAATCCAAACCCCACTAATAAACCAGATAAAAGTAGAGAGGAAAAATAAGAGAATGGGGAGGGAGGGAGAACAAAGAGAAGGCTCCACGAGTGCCCGGAACAATAAGGGAAGAAAGGCGAAATTCTTCTGGAAAGACAATGGTAAGGGGGTGGGGGGGAGGGAAGACCCAAAAGAAAACACGCCCGCTGAGATGAGCCACAGGCCTGGAGTCCGGCCGGGCTGGGTCAGGCCTGGCCGGTTGGGGTGGGTGGGGAAGTAGGTAGGTGAGTGAGTGTCACAGGGCCCTGGACAGGGCGAAGGGGTCGGGCAGGACCGACGTGCAGAAGGACGGGGCCCAGGTGCAGCAAACTGGGGGCCGTCCCGGGCCGGGCCGGGGCAGGACTCACCGGCGTTCTGGTCCCGAGGCCACAGATAGTAAGTGGCCGGGATCACGATGAGTCCGACGAAGGAGGTGAGGAAGTAGAAGAAGGTGTTCCCGCTGTCATCGTACTGGAACTGCTGCCCGGCCATAGCGACCCCCTCCTCCTCCTCCTCTTTCTCCTCCCCCTTCTCGACGCCACGACCCCGCTGCGCGGTCGCGGCCCCGGCGCCGGTCCCGGTCCCAGCCCCCCAGGCTTCGTGTGGCGCAGCTAGGGCCGCTCCGCCGCCGCCGCCGCCGCCCCCCACGCTACACTCACGGACACACCGCCGCCGCTGTCTCCAGTTCTCGCGAGAGGATACTTTGTTCCCTCCCCCACACTTCTCCTCCCCCACCCCCCACTTCCTCCGCCTCTCGCCGGCACACGTTAGCTAAGGAGACGTGGCGTGCGCAGCCGTGCGCTCAGGTCCGGGGAGGGACTTCACGAGGACACAACCCAACGCGACGCCCCGCCCACCTCGGCTTTACCGGGAAGCACCGCCCCTTGTCCCAAACTCCGCCCCTCTCCTCCGCTCCTCCTCCTTCCCTGCTCTAGGAGCGTGAGGGTCGGGGAGGAGAATAACGGAAGCAGCGTAGGACTTGAGGCACTTGCCCCTGGCCGCTTTTGCTTCTTACTGAGCCATTCATTTCTGCCTCAGCAAGCTTGCTGTACCTGCCTCGGGCCTCTCTAGGTCACTGCAAATCTACCCCTTCCCCCTTGTAGGTGCAAGCCAAAAAGTACCAACGTCTCTGTAGTGCGTTCGGAGTTTTCCTCACAATTTCAGCTTCCTCATCCTTAAAATGAGGGGGATGGTTCTGGGAGGGAGACAGGAGAGATGCCATGGAAATCTATGAGCAAGACACTGATAAAAAAAAAATTTTTAAAGAGTTCACATAAAACACGTTTAAAACGAATGCATTCTTCACAACTATCCTGTGAGGTAATTTACTTCAGCCTGGAGTTGGGAAGACCCAAATTAAAATCCAGCATCAGACACTTCCTAGCTGGGTGACCCTGGGCAAGTCGCTTCATTTCTGCCTCAATTTTGTGAGAGATGATCTCTCAGAAGTGAAGCCTCCTCAAAGGGTCATTAGTTCTTGTTAATGGTTCTGGTATGGTTGCTTTTGAGTGGTGCATGTGTACCAACACTAAATGAAGACCCTTCAGAATACAAGACCCCCTCCCCTAGCCTTCTCCCTCCCCTTAGATAGTGTTAGCAGAAATTCCTGAGCCATAAGAGCATCCTGTCTATCTCATCCTCTAGCTAGTTATATGACCTTGGGTAAAAGGCTGCCAAAATTGTGAGGCCCTGAAAAGGGGGAACACGATAACATAATTTCTATACCTCTTTGTTCTCTCTGTTACTGGGGTAGTTTTTACATGAATAGATTGTATACCTGAGGCTCAGTCAGTGAGTCCACGGGAAGGGGGTTAGGGTGGGCTACTGCATTAGGGTCTATATAATCTTGCCTTAAACAAAGAGCACTCTCACTCTCAGGGCAGCTTAGGCAGCACAGGGGTGCACTTTCTCAGGAAAGTCAATAAAGAGATCTCTCCTTTTTGCAAACTCTTGTCAAGACTCTGGGGGTTTTTTTGTTTTGTTGTTGTTTGTTGTTGTTTTAGCTAGGCAATGGGGTTAAGTGACTTGCCCAGGGTAAGTGCTATGTGCCTGAGGCCGCATTTGAACTCAGGTCCTCCTGAATCCAGGGCCGGTGCACTATCCACTGTGCCACCTAGCTTCCCCAAGTCTGGTTTTTAACGGAGTGAAACAATGTAAACAATGTGAGATCTCTTGGATATGGACTTAGTGCAGCAATGTCTTAGACTGTTGCAAACTCGAGGTTGGTTACATTAACCTCAATAGGCCTAAGTTTCAGGTTCCTAGAAATCACATGATTTGTATTGTTACATCAGCATTATGTAATGGCTAATTACTAAATAAGTATAAATAGCTAGGATTGGTAGTATTATAATGTGGTTTCTTGTTTCCGGGGTAGATTTTCGTGGTTTAGATTGTAAGGCTGAAATTCCTGTCCAATGGGAATTCAAAGCCAGTGGTTGGTGGGTATCTCTGCGTTAGAGCTATATAACCTTTGTCCTGGCCTTTGTGCCTTGCCTCACACTTCGCTTTCCTCAGACTGCCAGACGAAGCAGACACCCGCTTCTCGTCCACTTCTTTCGAAGAACATGATAAATCTTTCACTTTATACCTAGAAAATCTCTAAGCGTTATTTTTGGGCAACTGTACCACACAGTTTCCTCATCTGTAAAATGGGGATAATAATAGTACCTACCTCCTAAGATCGTTGGAAGGATCAAATGAGATGATAGTTGTAAAGCTCTTAGCACGGTGCCTGGTGCCTAATAAATATTAAATAAATGATAATTATTATTATTATGGGCAGCTAGGTGGCACAGTGGATAGAGTGCTGGGCCTGGAGTCAGGAAGACCTAGGTTCAAATCCAGACCCAGACATTTACTAGCTATGTGACCCTGGGCAAGTCACTTAACCTTCTTTGCCTCAGTTTCCTCATCTGTAAAATGAGAAGGAAATGGTAAACTACTCCAGTATCTTTGCCAAGAAAACCCCAAATGAAGTTGTTAAAAGTTGGATACAACTGAATAAATTATTATTATTACCTTGCAGGGTTGTTGTGAGGATTAAGTGAGATGTTAAATTCTAACCTTGATGCTTACTAATTACATGATTCAGGGCAAGTTACTCTTCCCTCATCTTCACACACATTCACTACCTACCTCACAAGGTTGTTGTGAGAAATGCACTCTGTGGTTTTTAAAGGCCACTATAAGTGCAAGTTATTATTGAAATGGAAATAATACCTGTTCGATTTATATATCACAAGGTGGTTGGGAGGATCAAACGAAATAAATATGAAAATTGCTTTGAAAAAGTAAAAAGCATAGTAAAACCAAGGTATGATTTAACATTTGAAACTAGAATAGGTATAAACAAATTTTAGATGTAGAGGCTTGTTGAGCATGTAGCTTACATATGCTCCTTTGTTGGGAGAGTGAAGGGAGTTTCCTTGTTCCACCCTCTCTATTGTAATCTAAACATAATAGATGGCCAGATCTGTAAGGTGCCCAACTGGTTTTTGTAAAACTATTCCAACTTGTGAAAGCAACATAAGAACAACTCTGGTTTTTATAGCACTTCAAGGTTTACAGAGAGTTTTTCCTCACGGCCACAGACTAATAATTACTAAACCCATTTCACAGATGAGGACACTAAAGTGTTATCATTGCCCATGATCACATAACTTGTAAGTGGCTGAGGCAAAGTTCAAACCCGAGTGTCCGGATACCAGGTTCAGCACTCTATCCACTCTACCATGTGATTTATTTTATTTCTATGTTCATATTTGTTCTAGGCCCTCTACCACCATTAGACGCGTGTTTGTTTAGCATCAGATTTACATTCATTCATTAAATAAGTCATCTGATACAGATAAGTTGTATATTAGACATCCGTTTGGTGCAGATCACTATGCTTAACTCTTGAGGTAATGCAGAGTTTATGCATGACACAATCTCTTGCCCTAAAGTTGTTTACAGCCAAATAGGAGATATAACTTTAATATACAGTATTAAAATAGTAATAAAGATACAAATAAACTGCTATGTGAGGTCTTTCATTCTCTTGAAATATAGATACAGGATGAACTCCATGCATTACACTTAAGTTTTACTGATGACTTGTTTATATGCAGGGGTGGGGAACCTGCGGCTTAGAGGCTACATGGGGCCTTCTAGGTTCTTGGGTGCAGTCTTTTGACTGGGTCCAAGTTTTGCAGAACAAATCCTGGGAATTTGTTCTGGGAAGTTTGGGTTTGGTTTAAGGGCCATACTTGAGAACCACCTCTGCTTCAGAGTCATTCCTAGATACAGCTTGATCTCAATACTTTCTGTATTGGAGTTATTTTATGAAATTTTTTCAGTTCATATTTATAGTATGTTATCAAGTTCTTTCTTAGGTGACACTGAAAGGGGAGAATTGCTGGGTTTTCTGCTTAATGACAATATTACATCTATTGGTATAATCCAAGGCAGCCAAGTAAACAAGCTTCCACTGTATGGTAAATGGCTTTGCTAGTGGTCATTACATTTTTTGTATCTATCATCAACCAAATTTTTCTGTTTTGCAGACCATATTTACTTTTATCCATTCCCTTTCTTCTTTTGTATTTCCCATATACCTACTCTGAGAGGAAAGTTAAGAAAAATGTTTCCTCTGCATAATTTTCCCATAGACTTTTTTTTTATCTGCTTCAAATCTGCTCCTTGAAGGCATGAGCTTATATAATTTCCTCATCATCTATTTTAGAGAGAAATAAATCAGGGAGAAATAGGGGTCTGTGTGAGTAAATATAGTGCTTGTGATTTTTCAATGCCAATCACAATGTACAACCTGCCTTGCTCCATACCTAAGTTAATCATCTTTGTGGCTGAGCTGATATGAGCAGTTGCTGTGAAACACTTTCTGTTTCCAGTTTAATTTATCGGGTCATTTGTGGAGTCTCAGTTGGGTTATAATCTACCGTCAGTAACTTTTAATGGTTTAAAACTGGTTTTTTCAAGTGATCAGCTTATATAGGTTGTAATCGGACTTGCCATAAAAATAAAACTTCAATTTCACAATCTGGCAGCAATATAAATCACTGATATTAAATACTCCCCCTCAACTCTTTTCTTATACCACAGTGATCCCTTTATTGAAGTTTTAGAATGATGCATACCAGGGCCTAAAAAACAAAGCGAACCAAAAGTTGGAACCAATGATTCATTTGCTAACGTCCAAATCAAATCAAACCAAAGTATTTTGCAGAAGAAGTTAGCCTAAAAGGGATGGGAAGCTATAAAAAAATTCTGAAGACAAACACAGAAATTATTCTGATCAGGAGGGAAGAAAAAAGAAGCTACATAAAGAGGCCAGGGTTTTTATTATTATTATTATTATTATTATTATTATTACTATTATTACAGCAACCAGTTCTGATCTTAAAAAGAGCCATGTGGAAGATGGAAACAAGAAGAAGTAATTGAAAATGGATGGATACAGAAAACTACCACGGTCCTGTGCAAAGTCCAGAATGAGAGAAAGCTGGTGGTGATTGAAAACAACACACAAATTTCTTCTAGTTATCATAATAATAGATTATATTTACAAAGTATTTAAAATTTTACTAAGTTTTTTCTACAGATTATCTCATTTCATCCTCAAAACAGCCCTGTGTGAGCAGGTACTATAGGTATCACTATCCCCATTTTACAGAT